CGACATTGTGACATCATAATGTACACACTACCGTCATAGTGTACCTCTTAGCCAATAGCGGTGGCAGATTTTGAGTTTTCACTTGGCGATGGTGCAACACTGACAGTTTTAGGCAGAATATTTGAATTTTAACCAAGATGCACTGAACTGCCAAATTATTGACAACAGGTGTCTACAGCATGATTAGACAATCTTCTATATAGTTTATCAGCAAAAAAAAGTTGATTTGGGGGTGACTTGCTCTTTAAAGCTTCACTGGGTAGTTTCCAGTGAGTGCACCATGTGGCTGAGGAACTGCAGTCAGCACTAACACAAAAAAAGCTGTTTTGCGGGGAAGCTTTGGAAGGCTAATGATGATCAGATGATCAGCTAATTTAATGGCTAACTTACTGAGAACATGGCCTCCTTGTGAATGCACATACATTACGGCACACACTCTCACAGTGCGGTACCGGCCTAAAAACATTCAAAATAAATGAACCTGCTACCTCTACATAAAATCATGGAACTTGGTTTTGTCGTGTGGTCAGGAGATTAAAAAAAAACAGGATAAAGATTTAAAAAATGGTTTTATTTTACCATGAATGTTACATAATGCAGCTTTGCTCAGAACAAACAAGTAACACTTTCTGGGTTGTGTAGGTACTGTAGCAGTGAGGCTTCTAATTCAGAAGGATGTGAGATTTTATTTATACCTGTCCTTTTCATACAAACACCATGTTTCAATGGGGCTTCTTTGACTTCCTGTCAGCAGCAGGAAGTTTGGAAAACCGTTGCTATGACAACCACCCCTCCCCAACCCATTTCACATTCATTTAATGATCCCACAGATGCCTAATTGTTTCCCTAATGATGCCGAGTCTAATGGGACTGTTTTTGCCATTCATTTGATAGAGCTGGCCCAGTAATTAGACTGCACCTCACTTCATTAAACAGCGGGGGAAATGGGGTGGGGGCCTTAGTGGCTCTGGCCCAGATGACGGAGACAGCGTAAACACCTTTAGACAGGCAAGCAGAACCAGGGGCCTATATAGCGGGACGGAGATCCTACTGTGAGACAGGGTCTTATCAGTTGGTCCGTTGTTCTAAACGGTGTTCAATTGTCCTGGCAAAAGGCTTCAATCATATTCCATGATCTCCCCTGAAGTGATTAAGAAGCTGAACTCAGTCCTCATTACAACATTTTGATAAGACATTCAGCTGCATCAGCTCACATGAATGCTAATGTGAAGATGTCAAATTGGTTTAATTTAAATGAATTTCTTAACTTTTTGTTGTTGTACATCTTCAGAATTTAAGGGAAAACTGCAATAAGCTGTATTAGTTTTGCATTTTACAATGGTATCATGTTTTGGACATTAGAAACAATTATTTAACAGTTAGTGAAGTGTTCTAACAAGAGTTTTATGGCGAAAAGCCTTTTTTCATCTCATCTGAGGGTGTAGTTGATTTCAAACAGAAAAGGACAGAATACCAGGCCTTTAAACCAACACTTGTTGCTAATACAGATGTGTTTAGAAACCCGGCAAGGTTAACACAGCTGGATGAGTTCTGTTTCTCTTATTGCAGAGATGTCTACATTTAAAAAAGGCATTGCAAAGTAAAACCTTTTAATCTCTTATGTGATTTTCTGACTGTGGGGTTGAAAGACTGGTGGTCTGCCCTCTTCCATTTAGACATTAAAATTTGTATTCACCTTTTGAAATCACCAGGTCTCCTAATGTTAACCCTAACCAGTGGTTAGAGCAGGGGTGGATTTGGGACTGAAGAAGATCCGGGGCTTAACACACACACACACACACACACACACACACACACACACACACACACACACACACACACACACACACACACACACACACACACACACACACACACACACACACACACACATGTGACACACACTAGTCTACATCATATATATTTGTCTTGTACCACATAATTTTTAATCTGAAGCTACATATTAAGCATTTTCAGGGCAGAGTGTTGTTCCTGTTAGTGTTTAGTGTGAGATGATAGTAAATATTCCCTTTCTTTCTCTAACAACTGAAAGTAAGCTAACTTTAGGCAAACCAGCAGCACAACAAATGTTTTCAAATAAGACTCACAAACCTGAGTCAACACCAGTATCATCAAAGCTGGGGTTCTGTCGTTGTACTTTTTGTTTAAAAAACGTCCTTATGTCCATCTTCACTCATGCGTTTCAGACAGAGAGTGCAGAAGAACCCGGCTGCTGAAGGGCTTCTTCTTCGATGGTGGAGGCTCAGGCAGGCTGTATACAAACTACTGCTAGCTGCTCCCTCTATGTTGGACTTTGGTACTGCATGTTACTTCCACGTTTCAGATCCGGGGCTTTTCATAAAACATTCGGGGCTTCAGCCCAAGTAGCCGGGCCTAACGCCGCCCCTGGGGTGGAGCCTGTTTTAACCATGTATCTCATAGAAACTTGCATTCAACATAACTAGGGTGTGGTGTTTGTGTGTGTGTGTGTGTGTGTGTGTGTGTGTGTGTGTGTGTGTGTGTGTGTGTGTGTGTGTGTGTGTGTGTGTGTGTGTGTGTGTGTGTGTGTGTGTGTGTGTGTGTGTGTGTGTGTGTGTGTGGCTGGGTGGCAAGTTTAAACAGAAGATGTTTGAATTAAAAAGAAAACATTAAATTCTACTATTGCTACCATATTGTTAATATTTCTACTTTTGAAAAACAAAATTCTTATCACCAATTCTTCAAATAAGAAAAAAAATTACAACTTATTTTCTTGTTATGGAAATTAAAAGGTCAAATCAATCATGACAGAAATAAACATCCAAATAAATAAATAAGTGGATCAATGTGAACAAAAAACTGTTTCAGCCAAAAAATCTTCCATGACAAAATGAAAAATAATAGCTTGTATATATATATATATATATATATATATATATATATATATATATATATATATATATATATATATATATATATATATATAAAGTATAATCAAACTCAGAAATGGTCAAAATGCTGTTTTAACGTGTGGCATAAAAGCTTCCCTACGCCTCCTCATATTATCGGAATCAAAATACTAAACTGTGAGGACAATGTCATTAAAATTTAAAGTGAACAAAGGCCGCAATGGACTAAGTAACCTTATAATAAGCTGAGTGGTGGATTTGCTGCAAAGATGAAATTATAGTGACTCAGAACAGCAGAACAAAGGATATGCACTGGCAGAATAATGGAACAAATGTAAGATTTTTCATGTTTCCTCTGCCTGGTTATCATTAATGTCTATATGACTGAATATGAAGCAGGATGTGGAATTTAAAGCAAGTAACATCTGGTTTTCTCATGAGACGCAGTTCTTAAAAATAAGGATTCTTTTACAGCAGAAAACAGCCTTGCAGGGCTTTGAAAGTGATTAAACCGTAATAATCTTCTGCCTTGCAGCACTTTGACTCACTAATTTCACTGGGATAAAGTTTATGTGAACACAGGCGGTAAAAGAGAAGCAAACAGATGCAAAATGTAAAGCCAACAAACATCCTGCATAGTAATAAAGTGAGTGCGGCAACATGCAGATGCTGCAGATGTTACTGATGAGTCGGCTGTAAAGGCAAAGAATCTTTGGGTGTCACCGGATTGTTAAAATAATAAAGACCAGTGTCATTTATGTTAACAAAAGGGCATAAAGGAAGTGCTGAGGCTCACTTTAGTGGCATTTAGGGAATTCAACCAGCTCATGTTATGGCTGCCACACTCTTAGGTCATTTCACTCAGTTTTCAGCCTTCCTAAAAGCACAGAGAAAACCATTCAAATGGCCTTCAAGTCTAATTTGGTTTCCACAGTTTAACTCCCAGAATGGAGTTTTAACAATCAGAAAACGAATATTGTGATTGTAAAGCAAATAACTCATAGTAAGGTTTAGCATCCAAAACCGAGATGATGTGGCAGCATTAATAAAGAGCAAAATCAGTGGGTGTGCCGCTGTCCGTGGTGCTGAAAGAGAGAAGGCATTTAACTCCAGGGCCTTTTTCACTGTTCGTGCTCCTGAGGGATGCAAATGGTAAATGGGCTGTATTTATATAGCACCTTCAAGGGTTCTTCAACCCCCCAAGATGCATTATAATTAATCAGTCATTTATCCATTTGTACACACATTGACACACTGGTCATACTGTAGCCACATCTGTCCTAGGGCACACTGACAGAAGCAAGGCTGCCATATAAAGGCATCACCAGTTCCTCTGACCACAGCCAGCAAGAAAGAACGACTAAGTATGTTACCCAAGGACACAACGACCTCAACAGACAGTGCTCAAACCTGCAATCCTTAGGTTTTGGGCCAAGCACTAAACTATGCTGCCATCATTGCTGTACTGTTAGCACCAGGAAATTGTGAAGAAATCCACAAATTATAACTTGAATTGGCACATATAACACCTTTAAATTAGTTCTAGTTTCATGGTAGAGCAGGGAAGCCACAGGTGTATTAATGAGGGCTGCATTCCCTCAGGAAGATGTTTCACTGAACAAGAAGCAAACATAAGTGCAGAAATGGAATGCAACATTCAATTTATTCCTGCTTCAATTCTAGGGACCTTGTGTCATAAATACACAGACCAGCCACTTTATTGAATACAACACAAAAAGCTGTTTAGCTAACCACATTGCAGCAACTCAATGCAACACATTGCATTTTCAATTTGCTCACACTTCCTTACTTATGAAAAAACAAATCCAGAGTAGTAAAATATGTCAACAGCAACTACATGTTTTATTTAGTTTGTTAAACTTGTTCTAAAGTGTACAGTGTCCGAGAACAAGGCCCTGAGGCTCCCCAAAGGACATTTAAAACATATCAAAAGAGAAAGATATTGGGTAAACTCACTTAAGACGTTTTTGTCTTATTTGTCACCAGCAGTCTCATCCAATGAGAAGCCAGTTTAAATGACCAAAACTCAGACCTGTGGTACCTGGTGATGTCAGCATTCCCCGATAAGCGTTGATTGCACCCCATTCTTACCTTTAGGAAGGAGAGGTTGCGGTTCCGATCAATGCTGGTGATCTCCAGATTACCCATGACGACTTCGCAATTCTCGTAGAGCTTCCTCAGGGTGCGGTACTGCTGGTCCAGGTCGGAGAGGGTGCTCAGCTTGTTCTCTGTTCCAGGGCAAACTGGAAATGGGTAAAGAAATGTCATAAAGCTTCAGTGTTTTTAAGACTTTATTTCATTGCAGATTCAGAAAGAACCCCATGTAAGCCGGAGGTTGTGAAACTAAAACCTGCTAAAATGTGAACAGGACAGTAATAAAAAGTTGAATAAAGTATGTAAAATTTGTCCCAAAATGAAGAAAGCAAGCTGCTGATGTGACACCTCAGCAATAAGTGTGCTGTGGGGGTCTGGACCTGGGGAGGGTTAGAAGGGTGTGAATCATTTCTCCGAGGCACTGACCTACAGTTCTGGTCTGGCATCGGCACACCATTTAATCAAAGTTATTCAAATTGCATTGGTTGACCTTTTCGGGGGGTTGTCTTTTCTCAGCTGACGAGATTACAAGACTTTGAACATATTATAGCGAGTGGACACGGCTCTGGTAACGTGTGGGGGAGGGAAAGCAATTAGAAGGTTGTGGGATTTTACAGCTGAATGAGTCATTAAACCATCAACATATGTTGTTGGCCTTCTGGGAATTACACCAAACGCCTCAGTAAAGCTCTAAAATGAAAAGGTGAGGTAAAACTCTTTTGCAGAAGGAAAGCAGCAATCAATCGTTTTAGTCTGCAGAGCTAACGAAAACTGCATGAGAATTGGTTGATGAAGAAGCAAACACTGTAATTAGGTCCTCCTGTTTCCACCCATAGAGCCCAGTTCCTGTTCCTGCCAGCCTTTCCTCCAGTCCCTCAGAGTCCCCAGAAGCAGTCCTGAGACCATCTGCTCCTTTCTGCTGGTGCTGGAGCCACAAGTGTCACTACAGGGTTTCTCACTGGGGTGTGTGTTTCAGATGCTGAGTGTGTACATTAGTGTTTGGACAACAAATTATCTTAAAACATGTTTTCATAGTACTGCTCTACATGTTTTGTAGGGATAAAAAAAACATGAAAAAATGTATAAAGTTGTTCTTTTGCATTTATCTAAAAACCTCCACATCCTCATTCGGTTGTCGGTCTGGTCAAGCTGCCGCACTACCCTGGGTTCTTCATTCATTACACACTCACGTATTTAGCAACAGAACACCACTGATGTGAGAGGTTAGTAATACCAGAGGAGAAACAGCCGGCTGCTACCACTTCAACTTAAGGACAAATTGCAGAGTCTCAAAAAGAAAAACACCATGTGAAGTAATGGACAACAAAAAACATTTGAACCTAGAAAACAGTGGCTAGTGTTTAGCGCTATCTTGTTTCCTCTGGCACTGGAGGTTTCTGGTTCCGACAGAAGCGTCTCAGGAGAGATACTCGAGGGAAGGGGTGAGTGTTCCATGATCGTGTTCAAAACCTAGCTTGTTTGCAGAATCGCCATAACAGATTTAGAGTTTTGAAATGTTCATTTTGACTCTCTTTTACTAAATGAGCTGAATGTACATTATAAATTACACCTCTTTTTTTCTTACTCTGTCACAGAGTATATATATATATATATATATATATATATATATATATATATATATATATATATATATATATACAGATAGATAGATAGATAGATAGATAGATGATAGATAGATAGATAGATAGATAGATAGATAGATAGATGATAGATAGATAGATAGATGATAGATAGATAGATAGATATAGATACATATATATATATATATATACATATATATATATATATATATATATATATATATATATATATATATATATATATATATATATATATATATATATATATATATATATATAAACAGAAACAAACACAAGAATGGTTCTAATTCATGAACACTTTCCAAATAGCAAACTAAAAATGTGTGTTTTCCACCAAAACCTCCTAAAAGTCTGGGGAACTACCAGATGGAATTGAATAAAATTCTCAGGCCACTATTACTGTTGATGGGTATTGACATCAGCTTAATTCAAGATGGCTGCCATGGTCCTTGTAAAAACACAGAAATAAGTCCAGCTTCAACATTGTAGTGAACAGCCTGATGTGGTGGGCCTAGCAGTCATCCACATCACTAATTATATAGCTTAAAGGGGCATTATGGAAGTTTGACAGCCAAAACATGTACAGAAATAATAAATTTCTTCTTCATACATTCTCCTGCAATGCCCTGGTCCTGTAGAATGAGCCCTGGCATTTTTATTGTGATTGCCTGTTTTTCTGTAAAATCACAGAAAAAGAGAGATGCTCGGGTCGAGCAGGCTGCTTCATACGTGTTCACGCTCAGGCATAGCCCGTAGCATTTGCTATCAGTAGCTTTAGCAGCAGAGAGAGAGGCAGTGCCAACTCAGCGACTTTGTCGCAGTTCCTAATGCCTAGTGATGAACCTAGCTACATTTCTGAGGACCCTTAGCTACTTTCTTCTAGATATTTCCTGCAAATTAGCAACAAAATAGCCATTTTCGCTCCAAACCGTTCTTTGGTTTGACGTTGTTGCAGGTGTTATCAATGATATAAAAGTTACAGGTACTTTGAATATTACTGGTGTGTAGCTCATCTAGTCAGATGTCTGACTCTCATGCAGAAGACCTGGGTTCGATTGTGGGTGTGAACATAGTTCATTTAGAGTTTCTTTTTTACATTAATGGTACATTTTTTTACAGTAAGATGCCCAAATTTTAATTTGAGACTCGCCGAACGGCATTGAATTCACAGATAAAAAGATGTGGGTTCAACTTTCATTTTGGAACAATTTTTCAAGCAAGGGAAGGGAATGATCTGAGCATGCAGGAGGACTGACCCATCATAAACCTTTGTCGGCTGTGCTGAAGAGAAAGGTACACAACCAAATTATTTAATTAATTAGCTGCGCATTTTCCTGTCCTCTGTCCTCCGGGCCACACACACACACACACACACACACACACACACACACACACACACACACACACACACACACACACACACACACACACACACACACACACACACACGGGACTGTCTCAGCTGTTATTTTCGTTAAGGAGTGTGCACGTACAGCATGCGCGTCTCGTGCACAAACCTTCTATTGAAGCTGCCGTTATGCTTTTGGCCTGAGGGGGCAATCGCAAGCATAAAAATTCAAAACTCCGTAAAGTCTCTTTAAAATATTGGATATTTGTCGAAACCCAGTTCTAGATTAAATTAGGCTCAAATTTTGCAAAAGTTTAAATAGATATCCCTTATTTGTCAACATGAGATGAGCTGGCTTGAATCTGTAAATAATGTTAATAACATTTTCATTGTGCCATGATTGCACCACAGTTTTGAGCCTAACACAAGTAATTTTCTTACACTATATTACAAGTTATTTACAATTTTATATACAAGCTGCTGGATTTTGGGAACCTAAACATGTATTCTAAACAGATCTATCCATAATGTTTGTTTTAAAAATAATTGTTGATCATAAGACACCAATAAGATCATGTTCAAAAATGTTTAACAGAAATATTGTCTCCACAGAGAAAGGTCAGATTGGTGGTTGTTAGGAGAAATTTCTACAAATATTATGACGAAACAGCCACTTATTTCATTTTCAGGTCAAAGGTCATGGTTTCACACATGCATTCTGAGACTGTTTTGCTTAAAAAAGAATTGTTGCATTGTTGAACTTGGCTCTATGTTGAGCAACACCGAGTGCTCATAAACAGCCTTATTGCATTATGGATCCTAGGTTCTGAGAGGAGGCGCTCACTTCCTCCCCTCAGTGATCTTTTGGACCGCCACAGTCTAGGGTGTTCTGCACAGAAAGACAGAGAAAGGACCTGGACAAAGGTGATAAATGAGATCTGCTGATACACACTCATACACACGCAGACAGATTATGGAATAATTTAAAAATGGAGACAAACTCAGAGAGGGATCAGAATTCGGTCCGATCAATAAGAACAGGAAGAGCTTCTCTGTAATTTGTTTGTGTGGAGTTGAAAGTTTAGTGGTGTCTGTAATAATCTGTTATTACCTGAAGGTGTGTGTGTGTGTGTGTGTGTGTGTGTGTGTGTGTGTGTGTGTGTGTGTGTGTGTGTGTGTGTGTGTGTGTGTGTGTGTGTGTGTGTGTGTGTGTGTGTGTGTGTGTGTGTGTGTGTGTGTGTGCCAATATAAAAGGTCAGTGGGGAGAGGTGAAAAGTGAAGAGAAAGCAAGTCTCCAAAGCCAATATCAGCTAGCGTGCACACACACACACACACACACACACACACACACACACACACACACACACACACATGTGCAGATACAGAATGAGAAGGCAAACCGAGGGCAATCAATGATACAGAATTAAGTAAAGGGTGAAACAGAGAGGAGAAAAACTACTATGTGTTTTTCTCTCCACTGTCGCTGAATGCTTGCTTAGTATGAGGACAGCTGTAAAGACTCTGACACTAGTCAGTGACTCGATGCAACCTGTCAGGTTCCTTTTATAGGAAACTTTCTTCTGACTGGCTTAATGAACTGACCTGTATTGGAATGTTTACTGTGTGAAGGTCCTTCAGATGATTTGGCGCTATATAAATAAACTTGATTTAAATTGAATTGATTAGGCCCACGTCCTCTCCTGTAAAAGTTCTGCCCTCTCAGCTTGTTTCCAAAATATACACATCCATCTGCTCCTCCTCTTCCTCATGCTCCTCCTGACTTCTGTTCCTCTGCTCTCAGCCATCACTCCCCCACCTTCCTCGTGTCTCCCTTCATTGGTCCTCTTGCAGAGCATCGAGTCATGAACAATGGAAAAATTGAGCTGTCGCCTTTGTTTCCTCCCAACGTTTCAGTGTTTAGTCCAGGTTGTGTTCTCGGTGAGAACAAAGGGAAGAACGTCTATGGGTCTCGGAAGTAACAGGGCAAGTTTTACTGTTTAAAAACTAATCTGCAAATTCTTTTGCAATCATTTCAACAGTGCGAATCTGCAATATTCGGCAAATTATGTGCAATTATTGAAATGAAGTCAATGTGTCAGCATCAATATTTTGATTAATTGTGGTGTAAACAAAGCTAATATGCACAATTAGTCCCTTGATGTGCAGTCTCTCTTTTAAC